AAAATCTTCTTCGAATCTGAGTTTCCATGGGGCATCATCACCGTTGAGCTGTGGCGTAGCATTCACTGCCATGGAGAAATGCTGCATAGCCATTGGCCAATACTGCAATGGAAGACCTGACTGCACAAGGTTTGTGCGTGTGCCTTCAAGCATGTGTCTGATCTCCCTCTCCACAAACGACTTTGAGCTGTCCACATACTCTGTTGATGTTTGATGTCTGTACCCCAACTCTGAAATTGTAGCAATAAGTTCTCGTGAATTGTCAGTGTAAACTGCCCCAACTTCATCCTTGTGGGATAAGAAGTGGTTGAAAGCATTAACACATGATTCGCTCGATTTTGTCTGGCTTGGATAGACGTGTCTGAACTGTGTGTGGATGTCCTTCATCACCAATGCCACTGTTTCACCTTTGACGCCTTCTTCCACATTGGATTTGATTACAGTATGGTCAGCGACAATGTGATCCCCAAAACTTTTGGTTTCCAACCTTTTCTGTCCCCCTTTCTTCTTTGCGGGTGGCGCCATCATGCGCGCCTTTTGACAGATTTTGCAAAATGGATTCTTGGGGTAATGGCAAAACTGGTGAGACTTACTGCATGCCTCTTGCTCAAGGTCAGATGCCTTTCTAGACCTGATGTATTCGGTTTCACTATCATGAGCTACTCCCTCATCCACACCTTCTTCATCGGCACCTTCTGCTTTCGCAGCAACCATTGCAAAAAGACGTAACAGATCACAATCTTTCTTGAACTGTCCACTGTTCAAAACACGACAAGAGCTATCGATGACCGGCACACGGCCGTCTACGTTAAGCTCAATGACTCCCATGTCCGGACGAATGAAGTAAGGCCTACCATCAGCTGGCCACACAAAACTGTAACCCTGTTCCATACACCTGACCCCAACCGAAAGAACAGCAGGAGTTTCCTCAAGAATGTATGGTGAAAACGGCTGATGTAGGGCATCGACTTTTACGTCGGCCACCTCATCCGCTCGTGTCGAACCGTTTGCTGTAGCAAGGCTGATCGGAGTATCGCTGATACGGCGGTTTGTCGCCTTTGCGGTCTTCAGCATACCCTCACTGATCAAATCCTGTTCACTGCCCGTGTCAACCAACCAAACACATCCATCTTTTGATGCAGGTGTAGCAACAGTGGGCAAATGAGTGTTACTAACTTTGTTCTTGGGACCGATCATTGCTCTACAGTGGTTGCATGATACTCCCCCTTCTGGGTCATTGCATCGGAATCGGCACTTGGGCTGCGTTTCACTGCCGAAGAGCTTCACAAGTTCCTGCAACTGTCGGGCCGAAACCTGAGCACGGTGAGCCACGAGTTTGTCGGGTTTTGGCACTGACTCTGAATCAGGGAACGTCTTCTCATAGATTCGGGGTTTGTGCACTACCTTCCTCTGTTCACCTGTTGCTGGGACTTTGATGTATTTCACTTTTGATGAAAACACAACGGCTCTGTGGCATTGTTCTTTCATGGCCTTTGTGGCTTTTGGCAACCCTTTTCCCTTTGCTATGCATGCATACCTTTGGGTAATGCATGGCGCAGCTTTTGCACTGGCCTTCTTCTTTGGTGCAGGGCTATTGGTGCGTTTTGGATCCTTTGTGGGTGCAGCTGCAACTTCATGTTTGTAAAAACATTTGTCACCACGACGACATTTGCCCTGTTGGAAGTAAGTGCATGGGATCTTGGCCATCTCTTCCTTCGACTTTCTGTTGGGGGAACCACTTCTGCTACCACCTTTGCCCTTACCCTTTCTTTTGGGGGTACCAGATCTTGAGGAATCTTTGACATGCTTGTAGGGACAGTCTTTACCCTTTTCACATTTGCCATCCCTGAATTTGTAGCATATCTTGTCCCCTTTTCCACTCTGGCTACGGCCACGGGTTCGACCTCGGTCGCCCTTTCCTTTGCCGCGATCTTTGCCCCCCTGAGCGGGTGCAGCGGGCTGAGGCTTTTCGGTCTGCTTGTTCTTTTCAACGATTCTGTTTCTGTTTGAACGGAGTCTTTCTCTATCCAAAAGGTCACGAATGTTTCTCAACAAGAATGCATAAGACTTTTGTTCTGACTTTTCAGGAGCTCTGTCAAATGCTTCAATGTCATACTTCATCAATTGACATTTTCGGATTTGTCTAAGTAAGATGTCTCTGAGAACCAAATCATCTGGTGGGGTTTCCATGCCGGCAATTGTGGCGTCCCATCGGTTAAGAAACCTTCTAAGGTCCTCCACAGATTCTCCAGTGCGAACGACTCCAAGTAGGTCCTCGACGCGGTAGAGACTGCCAGCTTCCTCAGACGTCCTGAAGTAATCTTCAAACATCAAAAGGACTCTCCTACCTCTGACTTGGATCCCATTCTTTGACTTCTCATCTTTGAAGTTATGGATCTTTGTCGCTAAATCACCTTTGGCTGAGCGAGTTAACGCTGCCGACAGTTTGGTGTCAAGTGTGATAAACTTCCCAGGATCCTGCAGCTTTTCCTCCAACTTTTCCCTAGGGGTTTTGTTGTCAAAGACTTCATTGAGCCAAAGCCAAGCCTCATCGGGTTTGTCGGAGCACGATTTCACTTCATCCCTGACATGATTACGCCAGTGACGATAAGCTTCTGGGGCAGGCATGTCATTCAGTTTGATAGTCTCTGCCTCTTTTGTTCGGGGCTTTTCACCATCTGAATCCTTTGAAGTCAGTCTAGTGATGAGATCTAGCAATTGTTGACCTGAAAGACCTAAGCCTGCTTCAGCTGCTTTCTTGCCAGGGTCGCTTGCTATGACTGTAGGACTGGGCACACTATGATCTTGGTTTGCATCATCATCATTTTGTCTTTGAACTGGCAATGGTGGAAGTTTTGGAGGGGCTGCTGATCCGGCAGGGGTTGTTGAGAACAGGTTGCTCAACCTTTCCTTAGCGTCCATGGCTAAGCTACTCATACCAGTGTTTGGCATGGGTTCTGCTCCAGCCTTGGTACCGACCGCTGATTTTGGGGTCATGTACAAATCGACATTATTACCGCCTTGTGCATCATCAACTTCGACGGCTCTGTCGACACTGATTTCCGGGGCGCTGTACTTGTTGAGCTTCTCCATCAAATCCTCGACTTGTCCCTGCAATTGGAAATTGAGTTCAGCAGCTTGCTTTTCCTGCCTACTGCATTCCTCTCTAATCTCCTGAATTACAGCTTGTTCCTCCTTCTTGAAACCTTCCATGCCATTCTTTGCATACTCCACTGTTTCGTCCACGATTCGTTTACAGTCTGCCTCGAGGCTACCTCTGAGTTCAGAAAACCTTTGTTCGTACTGGGCTGTAATATGGGCTACCTTTTGGTTGGCTCTTTGTTCAGCTTCCAGTGCAACCGCATTTGCAGCGTTCTTTAGCTTTGCGTTTGCATCGCTAAGTTCCTGTCTCAGTTTTGCTACCTCATGCTCAGCTGCCGTTTGGGACACTGAATGCTCTGACACTAGGTGTTCATGTCTGCGATCCGCTTCTGCACGTTGATGGGCAATTTCGCTAAGGCAAACTCCCTCAAGCTCTTGGTACAGTTGCTGGACCTTTTGCTCCATGAGATGTGTGTGCCTCTCCTCCGCCTCTTGCCTGAAAGCATCAATGTTACCTTCGTTGATGTAGGTAAGATTGTTTTGCACGAACTGGAAATATGCTTGCACGGGCTGTGTGAAGAAACCTTCATCCACTGACATGGGCGTGGGGTTTGTCCCAGCCGGCAAGCTTTGTTGTGATCCAGTTGTTGCAACCGTTGCTCCAGACGAGGGGACAAGGGCGCCTCCACCGGAGGTGTCTCCAGTTGTCCTTTCCATGGCTTTAAGAGACTACGGCTGATAACCTGTATTTTCAGGTTTCAGCAAGGGATGTTACTATTATCCCAAATGGACTGATAAACCTAGAACAAGGACAAAAACCGTTAAGCTAACGACTCAGCAGCACCTTTTCCAACTGAGCCGCAATGCTGTAGTGCAACTAGCTTACATGTGTGTTTTATGGTGAGGTGATTTTACACGTTTTGTCCACAATTTTCTTACAGTCAGCTTCGAGATTCATCTTGAGTTCAGAATACCTTTCCTCGTACTGCCTGGCGACATAAGAAACCTTTTGGTTCGACCTTTGCTCTGCCTCCAGTGCTACAGCATTCGCAGCATTCTTCAGTTTCGCATGTGCGTCACTGAGTTCCTTCCTCAAGTTCATGATTTCCTGTTCAGCTACCGTACGGGACATCATGTAGTTTTGCTGTGACTTGTTCATGTCGCATGTCAACATTTGCGCGCTGCTGAGCAAGCTCATTGAAACACCTCTGCTCGACATTCAGACTACGGTTTTCGTAATCCTGACAGAGTTGCTGCACCATCTGCTTCACTATTTGGCTATGCCTCCTGCTTCCTGTCTGATATTGTCAATGTTGCTCTCATTTATATACGTGAGATTGTTTTGCACGAACTGGAAATATGCCTGGACAGGTTGATAAAAAAAAATCCATCGTCTACCGTCATAGGCATGGGGTTTGTCCCAGCCGGGTTTGTAGCCGGAATTCCAGTTGTTGGAACCATTGAACCCGTTGCAGGAATTAGAGCACCGCCAGAACTAGACCCATCACCGCCTGGTCTCTTCATGGCTATTTAGACTACGGATGATAACCTGTATTTTCTGGTTTCAGCTGGGGTTATGATTATAATCCCAAGTAGACTGATAAACCTAAAACTCAACCGCTAAGCGTGCAACTCAATCCTTTTTCACTGAGCCGCAATGCTATAGTAACGCATGCTATAATACGTGGTGTTTTGGGTGGAGTGCAATTGCAAATATTGCCATTTGTTATTTTCCAAGACAATGAATTCATCGGGATTACCAAGATAAAAGTAAACCAAGCCCTTAGTATATCTAGGTCCTGTGTATTACTTTATTATTACCAACCTAGTAAGAAGCTTATCCAGCAGCCGTCAGGCACCATGGCTAGCTGGTGACTTCCCGGAGCTCAGGGATCGACACTTCTGCCGCTAAGTCTGCATCGTACATCAGGGCCTCCAGGCAAACTTTTTGAGCCGTGGGGGTTGCAACCAGAAATGATGAGTCGACTCAACTGAAATACGGATTTGATCCACCAAAATGATGATCGAACCTACATGGGATGATTTAGGCAACTGAGTTTGGGATTCAAGCAACTGTGAGGATTTAGCCCAACTGCAGAAGGATTTTGCCAAGTGAAGCGATGATTTAAGCATGTTCAAGCAAGTGAAGTAGAGATTTGACCAACTCAAATAACCTAGCGCGATAGCGCGGTTGAGGCAAAGCCCCAGAAAGTAGAGTATCCCCTAAATGAGATTAAATAAGTTACCTGTGGGGGGTACCCTCATTTCCAGGAAACTCTCCTCAAATGAGGGCGACAAATGGCTGGCTCCCCTTAGATTCACCCTGCGTTCCCTGGCCGCCATAAACGAGCCAACGAGCCATGGCTGCGACAAATCACCAGTTATAATGTATATCATTGACAAATAGGTATCAAATAGGAATTCATCAGTTAATAATTTTTGCAAAAATAATTATAAGAAAACATGTCAAATCATTGAAACTACCCACCTTCTTTACGGTTGATATCGGGGAAACCATCAACTGAAAATTCCCGATGAACATTGCCATTCAAAAGGTATACCACTGCATGTTTGCGCAAAGTCAAAAATCATATTGTTAGTGATATTATATATATATATACATCTGGGCAAATTATAACGACCTCACGGCGACCTCACTGGAATCATGGTTAATAAGGGCAATCATCCCAAAATGGCCCAACATTTCAGGTTAGTGAATTATTACAATTTGCTCAGATACTTATAGTATCATAAAATGCTTGGTCTTACAGTATATCGAATGTGGCTCTGAAAATATCGTACCCTGTTCCATCAACTGGTTGATCATCGTTCTCGCTAAAATGAAGATTTTCTGGGTGCTTAGAAAAATCCCCACTTTCAGACACACCCCTATATCAAAAATGTTGGTGAAACCAATTGAAATCCCATAAAAATACCATATTAATCCATAACAAAACCACCATGAAGCCACTGTATTGATGAAATCTCCATTCTGGTGGAAATCACCATTCTCTTTTCATGAAACAATTCACCCCATGAAAATCCCATGAAAAAATCACCATTAAATCCCAGACAAAATCACCATGAAATCCCATAAAAAAATCCCCATTAAATCCCATACAAAATCCCCATGAAATCCCATGGAAAAAATCACCATGAAATCCCATACAAAATCACCATGAAATCCCATACAAAATCACCAGAATTCCACAAAATCCCCATATTTTCCCCATACGCCTCCTCGGCGATCAACAAGCCCAAGCCCCAAAAGTTCAACAGCACCGTGGTCCTTTTTTGGAGTCGGGTTGGAAATGGATGAGTTCACTGAGTTAACTATCGATCATGGGATTTCACCAACAAAAAAAGAATCTTTTGGGATCCTGGTGATTGCCATGATGGTTCATGATGCTTACCAAAAAAGGGACGGGTGGCAGAGGATATGATTGTGATTAGTTGGATGATAGTGATTCCCAATGACGATTTATGTGTGGAAATCCTATATAGCCATTATTTTTCCGATGCATTCCCATTATGTAATTTATTCCAACGCATGATGTGGGACCATTCCCATTCTGGAATTGTGGTTCTGACTGGGTGACTATCCCAAGAGAGCCTGAATGTGTGAACAAAAGGGATGAGTGATAGAGGATATGATTATGACCATTCGGATGGTGATTTGGGTGACTTCGGATTTTAGGTCGATGTTTTTCCCACTTAGGATAGAATGGTGGTATCATGGGATATAATATATATATGATATAATATGACATATCTGGTTGGTGGTTTCAACCCCTCTGAAAAATATTATTCAATGGGAAGGATTATCCCATGCATACGTGTACAAAGGGGGAAGTCAAACATCCATCATTAGGATTATTGGGATGATCATTAGGATGAGAATTGGGAACATGATGACCCTGGGGGGTTAAAAGAATCCATGGGATTTAATCATTTAATTGGATCTAATCATGAACTATCGGGGTTGAACCATCAAATACAGTATGTCGATATGGTTGATAATGAGTTTCCGATGGAACATGCAGTAAGGAGCCCCGAAGCACGATGGTGTTGTACCTTCGTTTAGTTCACCAGGCGATCGCGATTCGATCAGCCAACTGGAAACCGGGCGGCCGCCCGGCCCCAAACCTGGATGGTTTCCCAGAAAATGATGTATAAATGCTAGATGTTCATGGTTGTTCCATATCTTCTTTTCAATTTACTGTACAGAACGGCTGAACCCCCTCTGGAAAAAAGCCCTTTATTTAGTGAGAAAAGCATGACAAAACCTGTAGACTTTCCCAAAAAAACCAAACCAGCAATGATAGTCTGTCAATGGCTTGGTTTCTTGGGAAATTTTGTTGAAACACCCTCATGTTTCTACCACAAAAAAAAAGGTGGTCAATCATAAATCATAAATCTTCTCTGATCTAATTCTAAAATGATATCGAAGGAGTGGGTTGTTGTGTTTATTTCCCGTTACCACTCCTATAGGTCTGGGCAAAGAAACACGATTTCCTGTATTTGTTCCGAGCAAAGTCAATCAAATCGTGAGAGTCGACCCATACATCATCCTCTGATCGGCTGGTATATAGGGTCCCCCAAAACAAGACTCCATTCACGTATGGTGATACTTACCATTAAAGCAGTATGGTGCCCCAGACATAACCATCGATCAAGCGTTATTTTGGGTGTTATATCATATCCTCACCTCCACCCCACTTTTTAGTTGGAGCACATCTATTTGAGGAGACATTTGTATATATATATATATATCTATATATATATATAGAGAACCCTTTACAACCATTATTTCTGGACTACATCATTGTCCTTGTTTGTCTCAAAAATTGCTACCCCCAACATGTGATGTTGCATCGTTGTCTTCCATATTTTTCAATGACGATTTTTGGTGGTATACAACATGTTCAGACACACCCATATTTGACAGGAAAAGTCCGCTTGGCACTTCACCATTTCAATGGGTTTGTGTGACTCCAAACCGGATACAGCCAGGTCATTCTGAATCTGGGAGTTTCAACACCCAATTTTGCTACCCCTAAATCGGTCTCAGATCGGTAATTTTTGTAAAATGGTTAACTCAAAAACGCAAACTCAAAATGGTTGATATATGTTGATATGAATTCTCATGTGGATATCGCTAACTCAAAAAGCCTAAACTAAACTTCTAGATGGAACAGCGGGCACGCTATAGCTCCATGGTTCCCCAGCGGGCACCGCAGCTGAGAATCAGATCCACTCGGCAACAGCCGTTCCAAAAGACGTGTCTCACCGCGGCGCCTCGGTACTGATTCGACGCTTGGAAAGCACGAAATATGAATTATAAGTACTGATAATGTACTGATATTATCTATGAAAAATTCTATGAATCCCTCCCCCTAATACATATATATATATATATGTTTATCACCATCCAAGCGAAGTCCTGGTGAAATGGATTGGGTCCCAACATTGGGTCTCTCTTATTTTTGAGGTATTTCATAGGGAAGAAATATAGCAACCCCAGCCTATTCTAGTGGAATTTTAACATTGTCGTTGGATGAATGAAAGGGAACCTATTGTAAATTCGAATAGAAATCGAGTTACCTATTTAACATGTTGGGGCGGTGTATATAAAATTATATAAACCATCCCTGATTCGGGAAAACACCTGGTGACATGCTTCACTTTGAGCTGCATGGGTTCATCACAAAATGGACCATGGGATGGAATGGCACTGAGAGATATGAGATATGTACGTCCTGGAATAGTTCTAAAGAGGATAAGCATGATCAAACATGAAAATAGGCTGAAGTTGTTCAAGACTCAAGATGTGGGGATATTCTACTCAATCCAAGCTCAGAAGCTTATACATATATGGAGATGGATACCCTATGGTACCCTAATCCAAGTGATGCTGGGTCAATGGCCAAGCACTGTCTGAAAATCGGGTACCCAAAAATCACCGAGTGTACCATCATTTTCTCTATGAAGATTGCCATGTTTTAAAACCGGACTTACAACCACCATGTTTTGACATGTTTTGACCAACTCACAAACTGATTACCTTCATGGTCATATCCACCATGGCTTAACATCCTCCATATTCCTCCATGGTACTATAACAGGAAAATGGCAATATAATAGGTAAATCATCCACACATGAGTAAATTTCCATGGCTGACTACTGACAACTTGGGAGATGGACAGCTCTCTTCGCACCCTGGTCCCATTCCCAAGTGCCAAGCTGATTATGTTGATACATGTCACGAAAAATCCCCATCCACATGGCCAAGAATCAAGTTCTGTCAACTTACCCTTCAGTTGATTTACCCATTTACCGTATACTTTGATGGTCAATAAATCCCAATTTTTGATGGCTGAATGGCTGAATCCATTTTTTTGCAGGCAAAACAACCCCAATTTGATGGTTGATCCACTACACACCCCAAAAAGTAGCATACCCGAAAAATAGGTCAGGAAGATGATTTTCCGGATGGATTTGGCCATTTTGGGGTTCCATGTTGTTCCATGTTCAGGGCGTGTACCCCACCAAGGTTTACCCAGATCCCTAGGCATTTGGACGGATCAGATTGTCCTCCGCCATGATTTCGCTCTCCACGTTCTCCTCTGTACACATCGCGCCAAAGACCTGTCGAGTTGGAGGAAACCTGTACCAGGTTGATGCGTCCTCAAATGGGAAAAAAAAACATGGAGCCCGCTTTGGTGTATAGTGAATATATATATATATGTATTATAATATATATATATACATATACTGCATATATATATACAAATGCTAGACTATTCATCATATTCATCCTCATAGACATCATCTTCTTCATAATCATAATAATCGGCATCGCCTTCTTCTTCATCATCACTATCACCATCAATCATCACCATCACCATCATCATCAACAACAACAGTCAACCACTAATAATCAATAACCAATAACCCAGCTTTAGTCATTAGTGATCAAGCATCAATCAGCATTAATCATCAATCATCTATCATTAATCAATCATTAATCAGTAGTCAAGCATTAATCATCAATCATTAATCATATAGAATCATATATCAGCAATCAATAATAATCAATCATTAACCATCAATCATCAATCATTTTAGAATCATCCATCCTCATCATTGCTGTTTACCTTCATTGGCTGTTCATTTTGTGGTCCAACGGGACGTACCACCCCCCCTTCAAGCGGTAATCTGGCACAGTTTTCTGTGATAAATGAATCTCTTGGTTTTCAGATTAAAGAAAAACTTATTCATCTGCAATCTTTCAAGGTCTTCAGATTAAAGAAAAACTTATTCGTCTGCAATCTTTCAAGGTTACAGCTCCATGTTTGGTAAAAGTATATAGGCACAATTGTCTGGCCAATCTTTGATCCGAAAAACATTGCCATTTTTAGCTGCTGAATGTCTTTTCACATCAACACACACACACACAAAAAAAGTAGTCCACGAAGTTCTCACCAAAATTCGCCTGGGGTACATCTTTTATTCGCACCAAATGGTAACAAAAGACCCAGACCTCCGCGCAAAGGATGTCCTGAACCTGGGATGTTGATCTGCCGAGTGAACTGCTCATGGGATTTAAACATGGTAAACCTATCTATTCTCAAAAAGGAATAAACCTATCTATGTTAATTTTAGTTCATGGCTACAGATATCTTGACCAGTGTGTCTGAAAAATAGGCCACAATCTGATGGTTTATCATAACTGTCTCCATTCAAATTGCCATTTATCGGGGCAAACTAATTATATATCAATGGGCTGGTTTGAGGGAAAATCGAAACTGGAAACCATGGTTTTTACCATCAAATATAGGGCTTTCCTGTAAATTGTCCCATTATCCAATTCTATGAATATAGTAGTTCTTAAGCCGAAGACATTTGAGGAATGATACGGACTGACTAACCTTGACCTTTCTGCTGGGCTTGATGCATCCCTGCGACTAAGCTTGCAGTGAGCTTGCTGTGAGGTCCCTGTAGAAATCGATACATTGTAGTGAATTACCCTCTGGTAAATTAACATAGACCCTGGCAGATAGGGGTTGGAAGACTAGTTTCCATTAAAAATTGGTGGTTTTCAGGGTCTATGTTTATTTACCAGAGGGTACATCCTAACCAAGCGAACTCTGTGAAGGCGTCAGTTTGACATCACCAACGGAAAATGTAGAAAGTTGAACCAAAGAAAATTACCATGGTCACGGAAAGTGCGACAAAATGATGATGTCCTGGATTGGGAGAAAATTTCCGGGGCTGCTACGAGGTCGATTTACCATCACTTCAATGTTGAAAAGAGGTGGATAGCCCTATATAATCCTCTGTATAATATATATATATATAAAACTATATAATTATATATAACTATATAATAATAATAATAATAATTATATATATATACATATCAATGTATTATAGTGTATATGTACAGTGTATATAAATATGTATTATATATATATACATATCAACCGACCGCTAGGAAAAATATCAACGGAACAAAATGGGTTTGAGAACGCAACATTCCTCAAATTTCAGGACATAGGGAGCCCCTTGAGGGGCAGGTTGCCGCCTTGTTGAAAGCAAAATTGGAGGTGCCAGCCTAAATCTGAGTCAATAAACTGAGTAAATAGTTGCCTTCCGGGCCCCGGTGCATTTAGATAGCCACCTCAACAGTGAAGCCAAGCAGTCAATGATGGAGGCTGATTACTATACAAAAACGCTCCAAAACTCCAATCAAAATGTCAAACCCCTAGGCAAAAGGGTACTCAGGGCAGTTTTAAGCGTTAAACCCCGTCAAGGTACTTGGTTTCTTAATCCCAGAGTTAACTCTATTTACCTTCTGGTAAACTACGATAACTATGGAAAATCACCAGGTTTAATGGGTAAATCAACTATAAATGGCCATTTTCAATAGCTATGTTAGTTTACCAGAGGGTATCTTTATTGGAAGCCAATTGATAAGCCCTTTCTCACAGCCGCAAGTTCAAATTCCTGTTGATCAAATCCGAGCGCATCGAGCGTGCTGATAATGTGAAATTTCCGTCCCCCTTTGAAAGTGTGGTGAAACTGGATGAACAAAACTATCATAAACTATCCCCAACAACTTACATCCCAAGCATGTTTGATATTGTTTGACCATTGGGGAAAATGGATGGCCCCCATCCCAGTGTTTTTTTTTTCGGAATCTCAAGCCATGAATTTCGCCAGGTAGCATGGCACACTTGAATCTCAGCGTCCAGAACAGGTCGACCAAAGTCGCGGTTGGTGATGTACTTGTGCCATTCGGGATGCTGGCGCCGGGGCATGGCGAAGCTTACTGATGTTCAACCAAGGTTGGCACCTAGGCTATGTCAATATGGGGAGTACTTCGAAGATCGTCCTACACCTGGCTGGTTATATAAGAACCCATAAGAACCCGAGATCCAAACCACGCCTCGAAACGGTTGGAGTCAAATTTCCAGGTGACTTCGTCGACGTAGAAAGTCCTTGCTGAGGACAGCATAATGGTCCCAACATGTCCCAACTTTTGAAGGGATTGGAACATTTCATCCCACCAAATTGGGGAAACAATGTAGTCAAATCCATTGCTTCCCTCATCTTCCATCATCTTCCCTCATTCTTTGGGCTGAAATATCACAAAAGAACTGCTGATTCTGGGTTGGACTTGTTGCTCCGGTATGTGCAGTGCTTCTGCATTGGATCTGTTTCAGCAACATGGGATGTCACCGAAATGGGAATAGAACCCAAGAAACTTTGACATAAGATTAAGATGATATGATAAGTGTAGTACCCTCTGGTAAACTAACATAACTATGGAAAATCACCATGTTTAATGGGAAAATCCACTATAAATGGCCATTTTCAATAGCTATGTTAGTTTACCAGAGGGTAGTAGATGTTTTATGGATGTGTTTAAAAAAATAGCTTACCCCTAAATCCAGCGGTTCCTCCTCATTTTCCCTCCAAAAACTGCGGAGGGTGAGATTTTTCCTCATGGAGATCACGGCAGGAAAGCGATGATCCAAGATCGATGGGCCCCAAAATATCTCCAAAATCATGTTGGTTTCCAAAAATATCCCAAAATATCACCAAAATTTCCCCAAAATAACCCAAAAATGTGACATTTCAATACATTTTAGATGCTTGGGCTGTGGGCTCTCCAGTGCCCAACAAGTCACGAAAAAAATGTGTGCTGGGGCCGCTGGGGGTCGGAGAACCATAGCGGGACTGGTCTACCAGTTCAGCAGGTTTCCATGGCAAATCTTCGATACCCTGCTTAGCTTCTATGGCAAAAGTTGTGTCAGTATCAAACTACCCAGCCCACGGTGAAATGGGCTCTACGCTTCTAGGAAAATCCATGAATTGAAACGAAATGAAAATCGGAAGCCATGGGTTTCAAATCCCTGAAAAATATCTGGAGATGTTCCTGCAAATTCGCCAATTCTATTCATCAACCCATGGGGAAAGAGGTTCCGACTCACCGAGAGATTGAACGCCAGGTGGCAGCATGTATCGCACTGGATTGAACATCGTCCTGCACAACTCCACGATGACTTCAGGAATTCAACGTGGCTGGGAAATACCCCTAGAACTGAAGGTTTTCGATGGGAAAATCATCGAACTTTAGGTGGTACCATTGTTTTCGAAGTGCCAAGTTTGATTACCGCGGTGCCGGTGCCGATCTTGTGGATATCTCGGCTGATGGATGACTTAAATGTTTCGAAGTGAGAGGCATGTAAATCGAGGTGCCGGTGCCGGTCAGCTGAATTTCTGTCCCAAAGTCCTGCTTTCGGTGTGAGTTACGATTGCTGAATGGAAACTGAATATGGGACTATTGAACGAAACCCGACATGGACAAGTCGCAAACTTATCGAAATTAGCCTGTCTGTCAGATTTAACCTCTGAATATCTCTCCCCTGAAATCCAGTTGCCATGGAATCTGTGTCTGCGAGGGCAAGCCTCCCTCTTTTGCGACCGATACTCAGAATCGCTCTGAAGGTCTTACACTATATTGAAACGTGAGATAAGACCCCCACCGTAGCCTTCGTCGGTTCCATGTTAGATTTTAACCATGATAATCTAACCCAGCAACAACATATAATGTTTATATTATATATGTTTATATATGTTTATATATGTTTCTATATGTTTATGTTCATATATATATATATGTTTATATATGTATATGTGTACTTAATATATATATATACATACATATACAACATACATATCTATATATAACATACATATATATATATATACATATACAATATATGTGTATGTATATATATATATATAAATGTATATATGTGTATATATATATATTCAACATATATGTATATATATATATACATGTATATACATTCTATTGTCATGTATTATCTCTATTACAGTATATTCTTTTATAGTGTTAGGTAGGTGAATATATATATATATGTCCATCACAAAAAAAAATGTCTTTCGCTAAAATATGAATCCAGTATGAATCCATCCATTATCAATCACTACATACCCTATATAGTTTTATATAGTGTGATGGTTCGATGGAATACCATTGCCTAAAGCTGCAACACTTTAATGAACTTTGCCCTTTTTCTTACGCAGCAATCAAGTTTGATGGGCCATATCCATCATATCCCAAGGCAAAGCCCCAGTGCCTAAACGTTTGCATCCAGTCCCGATCCGCAAAACTCACCTGGCGGCTGGCCAGTTAGATCACTTGCTGTTCCAGCGTCAAGCTGTTGGCTTGTACGATGTGAACTGAAATGATATACCAATTAAAGTTGATTTGCCAAAAAAGTGGATGAGGATCGCTTTGAGAAGTATTTTGGGCACCATTGTGAGGAATATGAAGAAATTCGGACCATGTTCACTGGCTGCTATAGGTCATAGCCAGAGGGTGCCGAGCGACTCGAGTGGGCAAGGCATGCCACCCCGAGTTGCCACATTCGGGCTCCTGGGAAGTCGGCTCACACAATGGACATCTATGGGGGGTTCCATAAATGAGGGTACCCCCATAGCTGGATGGTTTATAAGTAGGGAAAATCCATCTATAAATGGATGATTTGGGGGTACCCCTACTTCAGGAACCCCCCATATGGATATATGATGATATATGCATACAGCGCACACACATGAAGGTGTCTTACATAATCTTACATATATAATCTTAATACACATCTCGCCCTAGTTAATCATTGGATCTGCCAATCGCTACCGAAATTCCAGTGGGTCTGGCTGAATGATACCGTCACCACCAAGGTTTAGTGATTCAAACGCAGACATGATGTTCCATCCCCATAGTGACACAACCCTTGATTGCACCATTTCAAGTCTTCATTTCCTGTTGATTAGATTCAGCTTCATCTGCGCGCTTGCAAAAAAATGGTTTGAATCATCCGGAATCGTTTCAAATCCACATGATTAATGTTACTTCAAACTTGAAACTGGCTTCTCTTGCTGCTGAAATCATCTCAAACAGATCCTCAGCAGACTTCCGAAAAAAGAGTCCTCACCCAATTTGTTGTCCCCATTTGTTGGTGAATTTGCCAGCTTCTTCTTGTTGAAATCCCAATTTACTGTGAGTGTTCTTTTTCAGTGACCAAATCCCAAATTTTGAGCTGTTGACGTAATCTAAAGCCCTTGCCAAAATCCTAATTATAAAATCCCATGAAAATCCATCAAAATCCCATCAGGTTCCATGAAAATCTCATCAAAATCCCATCAGAATTCCATGAATTCCTATGCTTTCTCACAAATCAAATCACCTCGAAAAAACTCCCTGGCTCCGGCCCCCCAAAAAAACGGGCACAACATGCGCTCCGTGGTGCAACCCCTCAATAGTGCCAACGCCGCTTCGGGCGACTCCCGCAGCACCTGATTTCATGGGATTCAATGGTAATTCAATGGTGATTTAGTTGTGATTTCACGGTGATTGACAGGTTGATTTGCTGGGGTGAAAAATGGCAATTTCCTCCGAAAAACAATGGGATTCACATCTAAAACTGCACTTTTGATCCACATGTTGTTGTTGGTTTCCCCTGTTGAGTCAGATTCATAGTTTTCTGGTTCAGTCTCACCCTTTCTACATTCAATGATGATTTTTAGGGATTAAATGGTGGGTTGATGGTCATTGAATGGGAATTTTTATGTGACTCAATGGTGATTCAATACGATGTATATAACTGTCATTTAATGGGATTTGATGGTGATTGAATGGTGGTTGAAGTGTCATTTCATGGTATTCAATGGTGACCCAATGGGATTTTGGTCAGTTTGTCGTCATGACTACTTCGCCAATCCTTCCATCAGATTTAGGTCACTCAAGGTTTGGCCGAAAAGTTGGTACTGTACCCTCCGGTAATTTGGCAAGCTGGGAAATCCCGAATATATAAATAAAAATTTGAATGGGAATGTCATCTACAAATAAGGGATTATCCACTGCCATTTTTGATTACCGGAGGATAGCAATAAGAGTTGATATCAATGGCCAATAGTGTGACATTATCATTGTCGATTGTCATGTCGGGCAAATCAATCTGGGTAGATTACAATAATACATTAACCAGAAATAAGATTTTTTCTTGGGATTTCAGTGAGTTCCAACAGTGAGGCCGGTATTTGTTTTACCATGTTTCAGATCAATGGCATCTAAGATAGCCATATATTCACTAAAAATAGAACCATTCATGTATGGAATTTATTGATAGTGAATATATGGCTATCTTAGATGCTATATATATATAATATATTCACTAAAAACCGGAAAATATTCACGTATGGAATTTATTGATAGTGAATATATGGCTGTCTCAATGTTATATATTCACTAAAAAACAGAAATATTCACGTATGGAATTTATTGATAATGAATATATGGCTATCTCAATGCTATATTTTCACTAAAAAACAGAAATATGGTAAAAACTTTAACCATTAATATACAACCCATAGCCGTCGGGAGCTGCAGATATTCATCGCATTTTACAATGCGATAGCTGCAACTCCCCAGAAGCGGCCGAGAGGGAGATTTCCGGATTCAGAAACTCTGCCCGAAAGTGGGAGATGCCTCCAGGACGTTACAACTCTCTGATTGGGCTTGCTGGTGCTCCGTTTTGGCAAAACCTCTAGTCTCTCTGGTGCTCCTTTTGTGGTCTCTGATTGTACTTTCTGGTGCTTTATTTGTGATCTCTGATTGGATTTGCTGGTGCTCCGTTTTGGTACAACCTCTGGTCCCTCTGGTGCTCCTTTTGTGGTCTCTGATTGTACTTTGCTCTCTGATTGGACTTGCTGGTGCTCCGTTTTGGCAAAACCTCTGGTCTCTCTGGTGCTCCGTTTGTGGTCTCTGATTGTATTTTCTGGTGCTTCATTTGTGCTCTCTGGTTGGACTTGCTGGTGCTCCGTTTTGGCAAAACCTCTGGTCTCTCTGGTGCTCCGTTTGTGGTCTCTGATTGTACTTTCTGGTGCTTCATTTGTGCTCTCTGATTGGACTTGCTGGTGCTCCGTTTTGGCAAAACTTCTGGTCTCTCTGGTGCTCCATTTGTGGTCTCTGATTGTACTTTCTGGTGCTTCATTTGTGCTCTCTGATTGGACTTGCTGGTGCTCCGTTCTTGGCAAAACCTCTGGTCTCTCTGGTGCTCCTGTTGTGGTCTCTGGTTTACTTTCTGGTGCTTCATTTGTGCTCTCTGATTGGACTTGCTGGCGCTCCGTTTTGGCAAAACCTCTGGTCTCTCTGGTGCTCCTTTTGTGGTCTCTAATTGTACTTTCTGGTGCTTCATTTGTGCTCTCTGACTTGCTGGTGCTCCGTTTTGGCAAAACCTCTGGTCTCTCTGGTGCTCCTTTTGTGTTTTTTTTGCAAAGCGCACACGGCGACAAGGACAGCCGAAATTGGCCAACTTTGCCGTGGACAGGCTGTCTCCCAAAGGTGTTTTTCGGCACCTCTCCTGGTGCTTCGTTTGGTCCTTTCTGGTGCCTCTGCCGGTGCTCCGTTTGTGGCCTCTCCTTGTGCTTTTTTTTGGATGTTTACCTTGCATTGTTGCATCAATCAACGGTAAACTATGCCCGATTTTCTGGCATGAGTTTAGGGTTTAGGGTTTAGGATTTTGCATGGCCGACCATACCGTGTGACCGACCGCAACATATCATAGAATCATATCCATGCGGCCCATGGCCCAAATCATTGTTGAATTCACATGATCGCACAACACAACCTATGTCACATGTCATATTATGAGTCATGAGTCATATGACTTACTGCGTCAATTGAAAAAATATACGAACATGTGATTCATACTAATATCATATCACTGTCACTGACATCGTGTTTCAAATTGCAATTGCCGATGCTGCCAATACTGTATCAAACAAGAAAGCTTCATTGCTTGTGGTATATTTTTTGCTAAGCAATGATTGAATTGAATGGGATGTCAAAGCAATGCGATGTCAAAGCAATATAGGGGATCCCAGTCTGGAAACTTTGTGGGGGGAGACCAATGAGACAGAATTGGAGACAGGACAGCACCTCAGAGAATGACATGTGATATGGTGGTAGGATTCTTGGAGGGAGAACCATGGAAAGAAAGATGAGCTGGACACCAACTCCAAGCCACCTGATAAAACAAATGTCAAGGAAAAGAGGACCAAGACATAAAGGGTTAGAAAACACCAAATGGAATGATGAAATTTCTTACCCAGGCTCCGAAAAGTTAATGTCATTCTGGGCTATTTTTCCTGGTGCTTCATTTTGCTTCTCTCATATGTGGAAATCCATTGCAAGGGGGGGCACATCCAAAATTATACCCATTAAACTTAAGACATTGAAAAATACGAGGAAAAACGCAAACTATATCAAACTATTAACAAACAAAATGCCCATGCTGAAGTCAAAAATCAGCCCCCCCTCATCAATTCAAGTTGATTTTTCTGCTGTTGCTTTTGGCAGGGTCTGACATGTCTTCGTCGATAAAGTCTTGCGAATATAGTCTATATTCGTCTTATGCGCCGTCAATAAAGACCCGGACCAACTGCGCTTGCCAGGTGCTGCTAAGCTATGTTTGCGAGGGCTTGGTGTTTCCGCATATGTTTGAAAACATCTGAAACCTGGACCTTTGTTTTTGGCAGTTTCCAGGAGAATCAACCCGGTCTGTGTTTATTGCAAAACTGGTTCCAAAGCTTTTCAGCCGTTTGTTCGAAGCTCCTAGTTCGCACGAAAGAAACTATGACAAAACTGTTCGAGGATATCGCAAGGATCCGGCAACGACATTTTGTTGTTGCATCATGCTGCCGGCGGCCTGGATCTAACCTTTTTGTGAAGAAAGTAGATGAAATCGCGGCCACCACCAGGATCCGGCAACGACAAAAAGTCGTTGCTGCGAAAACAACGACGCATTGCTTCCCGCGTGTGCATGAGCTGCGGAGCCGAGTTGGACACAGCAACATGTTCCTCAGGCACCCTGGTCGAAGTCGATCGTCTTCTTATATTTCTTGTCTTCTTTGGGTCGGTCCAAATCTTCAATTAATATACATCATTTACAAACTTCAAACAACGTAGAACGCCAGGCCAAGAACTGTGATATCTATCCCCTTGTATTACGATAAAAATACCTTTATATTTGTCCAGGTCAAACCCAGGTCAAACACATTTTTTGAATAGTAGCAGGTGGCGTACTCCCCACCGCGTCATTCAATTTTTAGGAATGGGGATACAAACAAAACAAGCAATGTGGTGCCAGAGTGCTTTGCAATGTACTTACCCCAATGAAAATTCATCTCCATCCCCTTCGCTCCCGACCTTGGCAATGTCAATAGCCGTCAGGTGCCTGCAGCGGTTCACATGCCCCGACCATTTTGGTGTACCCAAACTGGAAATCCAACGTGGCTTGCAATGTAAATGTTTGATACTTGTCCACAGGTTGTGGATGATCTTGCTGCGAAATATGCTTTGTTCCCATTGCCATGCTTGATGACAGAAGGGTACTCAAACTGAAGGTACCTGGTTGATGTGAAACCCATGTAAGGCCTGCGTATGTCCTTGCAAAGGCCATATCGTATCCTCCTAAGAAATTGCCTTGTATAGTATGGGCACTGTACAGTGCCTCCGTACCTCCTCGATATCTGAATGGGTGTGCCGCCAGAAAAACAATTGAAATGATGAAAAATGGCTTAGAGCATGTGGTTGGGAAACTCTTAGCGCCGCTCCGCTCCCCACTTAGGGAATATGGATCCGCTCAGCTCACCCCTCCGTTCACCACTGGATATCAATGGATTTCCGTTCTGAATCAATGGCGGTCTCCGAATTTTGTCGTTTTTTTGATTTTTGGTTTACCTGCCCTGATTGGTGGTTGTTCCACCCATACTGAAAGTTACTGGGTAGGAAACAAACAAGCTGAAACGAACCACCAACCTGTTGACCGCATTGCCTTAGATATCCTGAAGAAAACCGCAGTTTCTAGCGGTTTGGACTTGTATTCCTCCACTTCTTTACAGCCAAAAGGGCCAAGCCACTACTTTCACCTACCCAACCAATTGGTCTACCAAGAGATGGCTACAACGTGGAAGTTTATCCAGCTAGAAATGTGTGTTTATCAATAGTTACTGTATATAATTGTATATATATATATATTGGCTTACAGCGTTTTATTGCAATCATGGGTTGATATTATTATGTACATTGTAAGTTGCTTATGAATCGGTGATACTTTCACAAGATGCCCACTAGCAGAAGCGACTACTTTTTTCGTTACACCTACCCTCTGGTAACTCATCGAACTAAAAGGACCATGGCTTCCATAGCCATGTTGGTTTACTGGAGGCTAAGCCCTTTGGTCCAAGACATTCCGCCGGTGAAACCATCCCCAATTTGGGTTCATTATTGCTCATTATTGCTATGCCCCTATTTGGGATGATGCAATTTTGGACCACCAAGTGGTTGATTACTGGAATGATTTAGTATTGGCTTTACCAAATTACAGTAGTCATCAGGGATTGATTGCTCAAACCACCGATCACCGAGCAACTAAATATCGGTTTGTCGGAAAATTGAGTACACCCAAGAATCCCCAGAATGGCCACTTTTATGGTTCCAATCAACATAATCGATAAACCATCAATTTTGCACATGTTCCCCCACATTGTCAGACAAACCCATATCTAATGTTGTTGGTTGTATATTCCATCAAGATTCCATACACCCGTATCTTAATGAAACCATGTGTATCCCACCATGATGAATCGCCACTTTCTATTTTTTTTTTTTAAACGTAAGTACATTTATCTATATATATATTATATATATATGTGAATAGATGAATATATGACTATACAAATATACCGTTGTATACCTATCACCCCATCGCTGTTTCGATTTGGATTTTTCGAGGATTTCTCCCACCTTGCGATCTCTGTGGCCGTGATGTTCTCCTCCTCACTCTTGATGCGATCCAGGAAGGCTGGGATACCTGGGGAAGTGGCGAATGGGCCCGAGATGGGCATGGAACCATGGGAAAAGCCATGTGATGTGGGTAAAACATGGTTCACCATAAATGGTGGTATAAACCATAAATGGTGGTATAAACATGGTTATAAATGTTTATACCATCCCCCAACTCACCATAAATGGTGGTAACATGCATAAACCATTCCCAAATGGCTGGTTTATTGTTGTTTTACCCACATTAATGTGGTAAACATAGAACCCATAAGAATGGTATAAGAATGGTGATGCCTTGGGGATGGTTTTGCTGAAATTCGGTTTACTACATTCTGAGTGATTTTGCCATACGAGTCATGGAAAAAACCGCCACTTTAGGGTGGCTTCCTCAAAAATATTCATGACAAATGGTGGATTTTCCAGCAAGCCATGTTTGATATACGGGTAGATGAAGTGAATGCTGATATGATGGGTATAAGAAATGATGAATGCTGATTTCATGGTGGCATGATGGTAACATGATGGTGACTTAATGGTGATATGATTAGGTGATAATTAGCTGAATGATTGGGATTTCAACGGGATTCAACAACCATCAGTTTTGGGTTAACCATCAAATTTCAATGCGGATATATATATATATATCAAATATACTGATTCTCCACGAAACATGGATTTGAAAGGACCCCCAAACGGTTCATTGGCGATTTTCGAGGATACCATCGGGTGCCCTCATCCACCTGGCTTGCTGGAATCCATGACCATAAATGGAGCTTCCAATGTGAAAATATAACCTATGATGAAATGGATTGTCCAGCAAGCCATGTTTGATTACCAGAGGATATACAGTCGGATGGGTGTATTGAAACCAACTTACAACTTGGGGTCCTGGCAGAACCCAAAAAGAATTAGGCCAAAACTTGATGATTTCAATGTATCCTTTGAAAGAGGAGCTCAGCAAAAATGACGACTTGAGCGAAAACGTGAAAGGTTTTTCAGCAACAAAAACCATGGAACTTGACAAAACTGGGAATGTTTTGAGATTGACCTCCAAAAAAAATGGCTCGCGCATCCCAATCTTTAGAAACGGGGATTGAACCAACAGAAATGGTGTAGCGACCCCACTAGTCACTAGAATCACTAGAAGCTGGTGCCCCCCCAGTTATGTAATTTGATTACCATTTAAAACTATAGATATATATATATATATATATAGTTTTAAATGGTAATCTATATATATATATCATGTCGTAATATGATATATCTACCATGAATCCTATAGCTATGTCAATGACCCAACCTGAAACCAATACCTTTCCCATCTTGGCCTCGGAGGCCTCGTAGAATCTGGCTTAAAATTCTCCATTCATGTTTAATGTGTTATTTTTCAGATGTTTACCATTAAAAAACCTCCAGTTTTTTCATAGATGACTTTTGTATACAAATTTCTCAGACCTCCATGAGAAGTTCGGGGATTTCCATGGATTTCCCAGCTTGCCATGTTGAAAATTACTGGAGGGTGTATCAAGCTATAAAGATGTGCGGCTGGGAGGCCCTCAATTCGTAGCTCCGCTTGCGAAAAAAACAAAATGGCTTTTGTTGAACAAACCGCTTCGTCCAGGACGTAACAGTTGGCAATTTATATCAGTATGTCAGTTATATGTCAGTTATATGTCATGTATATCAGTATGTGTCAGTTATATAGTTATGATCCAGATTGAACTGCAGCCATAGGACTTCTCTAAAAAAAAAAAGACGACTGGTGGGTCCCAGTGAGGGGTCGTCCCAACCTAGGGTTTTTCACATGGTTGAAATACCCTGGGCCAACCAGCAAGCAAACTACCCGAGAAATGGTGGATTTGTTTTCCCTTTTTTTTTGGGTGGTATCTTTTTGCTGCTTACATATATCATCATACATCCCCCTCGTATTGGGATATTTGGGTGGAATCAAGCAGAAACGTTGAAGGTTTGGGTTTGTCGAAGAATTGGGTCCGAAATCCCTCCACTCCTCAACTAGTCATCATGTTCCCCATTAAACTGGCATAAAACTGACCATTATCCGGGGAAGATGTTTAAAAAGAATGGTGGAACCACAATCACCGGGTACTGACCCGGTACTGCCGAGGCTCATTGCGGGCACTCCTCAATGAAGATCTTCAAGGATCCAGCAGTAGGCTGCACGAGTTCAATGGGTCAGAGGGCTAAGTGGTGGTTGAGCTTCGAAACAGATTTGCTATTTGGATCATCCCAAATGACCAGGAATGCTGCATAGAATAGTTGAATACATTTTAAACCACCAGCTAGATTGTGAGCGTAATTCGAAAATATGCTTAACTGGCAAATGAATCGACACAAAATTACAGAATGGCAACGATCTTTCCAGCTTGGAAGGAATGAAGCGTGGCAATGGAAAATCCCCTATGTTCAGCAAGGAAATCATCAATGTCTCATCTTGCATTGCCAGGTTCGGGTTCAATGACTGGAGGGTAGAAGCGGTGGTTTTGTGCAAAGTATTCACCATTGAAGTACCAAAAAAGCCAAAATTGGGGTTGGTTTCCTCTACTCATCAGCATTTTATTGCGCAAATTATAAGGCCTTTCACTAACCGGAATTAAGGCCTTTCACCTTTAGGCCATTTGGGGATGATTTCTAGTGAGGTCGTAGTGAGATTGGATCAATTGAAGCACACCCAAAACTTCAGGAAAAGCATATTGTTTGATGGTATATAATACATGGTAATTCCCAACCTTATGTGTGGCACAATCATGGCTGCCACGAGTGGCTTCGCTGAACATCCCAGGGATCTTATTGACAGGTTACAAACTGGCTGTGACCTACAGTGTCTAGGCTTACAGTGATTACTCACCACTTAATGATATCATAAGATCATATCATATCCTTTTTCCCCCCAGGCAGCAAGGATCTTGAACCCTGCAAAAAATCAGGGAATCGAGGGAAATGTATACATGGATGACGGAATCGTTGAAAAAGCTGTTTGAAGTGGGAAACCGAAACCGGTGTACTCTTGAGTGCCTGCGCCATTTCGCTGAGCAAATCCTCAGACATCTGTCCTCGTGGGAATCAAATATGGCGATAATTATGAATAATGTGTGATGGTTCACTATTGCTTTAACATTATCATGGTTCATTGCAAAATCATTTCTAAATGGGGTTTGGTTTAAACGGAGCCCATCATGGGAAACGAAGCTATGTAAATGGATGTAAATGGATGTAAATGGATGCAAATGCTGGATTGTCCATTGCTTAGGGTACCTGGGTGGTTCTTAAAATGGTGGATCCCCAGTCGTCACCATGGGTTTCAAAACACGTTTCAACACGTTTCAATACTAAGTCATGGTCCCATCGTTTCAAACTGGATGATGCAGTTTGGGTACCCCCATGACTTCGCAAACCGCCATAAACAGAACTTTGATGTAGCCCCATAATCCCCCCGCAGGCCCCGCAGTAGCCCCGCAGGCCCCGTCTCCGGTCGTCTCCTCCGAGAATTCCGAAGGACAGTGGCTGCTGGACCCCCGTGTCCTGCGTGACTGCTGGGACTGGAAGCTGGTGCTTCATCTTAGTGTCCCATGGGCTAGTCTGAAAATGGGGTGATGGGGTACCTCCAACATCCTCCGACTAATCCATGGATTAGAAAATAATGTATAACATTGTATAACAATTGTCCCATATTTTTGGCTATGAAAATGGCCATTTTCATAGCAGTATCCTGGGTATCCCCTAGTTTCAGACAGTCACCCACTCGGCATCCGATTTTTCTCCAAAGGATTCCCATTGCAACCTACTGACCGTGACCCGTTAGTACCTGAATTCAATATCATTTTCATGAGAGGATTTCACTCAATTGCTGACAAGTATATAAGAGTTCATCTATGTTCATCTGGTCCCCTCGGGCGATTTAGCAGATTTAGCGGAACCATCGAAAATCGTCATTATTAATATGTAAATCATTTACGGTAAATCACCTATAAATGGGTCATGTTCTATAGCTATAGCAAATTGCCAAAGGGTACGCACCTTAAAATGACAATGTTCACTTTGAAATAATCTCCGGGGGACCTCCATGATATCAAGGTGTCTTCTTGAATTTCAAGGTTTTGTGTTACAACTCGGGGTGATCCTGGAAAGGTCAGCTGCTTCAAAACTAGGCCCAGGCTAAATGTGTTGTTTGTTTTAAACCGATCTATGGAGGTCCCAACCTTGTGCGAACCCAAAACCACCGGAACTTTCAGTGTTTGTCTCATCAAGATCCAGGAACTTACGCAGCAAGACAACGGAGGTTTTCACCAACCAAAACATGGAAAACTTCAATCAATGTAGCTACGTAAGCCACCTCAGGTGTTTGCTCCAATTAGGGGAAAAACTAATTCCGCCAGTTGATTTATCATAATTTTCCCCATTGAAATTCACGTTCCCATCTTTAGACACATCCAGATATCGTATTGTTTGTGGTAGGGAACCCCACCAAAACGGGTCGATGTTTCCACCCGGGTTCCCTGCGGTTCAAACATCAGTTGGTCATGGACTCATGGACTCAGCCTTTTCAAATTTTTCATGGCAACAATGTTGGCAAAACCACTAGTCACTAGGGGATAGTGTGTAATATGGTGTAATATGTGCAATCGACATAGTTGCCAAAGTGTTTCAGCACTGAGAAAAAGGGCGCTGCGCGGATCTGGGTAGGATTGCAGGGATTGGTGAACTATATCAAACTATATCCTAATTATCACCGCTATATCCCCATGTTTGACAAAAAAAACATGTTGATGCATTCTGGGGATAAGCCCATCGGAAAATGACCCCATGGCCCGTTGCGGCTCCAATTGTTCTCGGGGCGTCTGCCGGAAGCTGTGCATGTGCTTCAGATCTGGCAGGACGACCGGAGCAGGAAAGATGGGACATCGATGATTCACCAGTGGAATGGGGTACCTGATTTTGGAAAATCTGGCCATTCTTGGTGTGGTTTTCTCATCGGCCGGAAGCTTCTGAAGGCCTTCCGACCCATGGAATCCACTGAGCATCAAAATAGCTGGAATTTCTGGATGTTCATTACCCCAAAATATACGTAGTAATGAGCTAGTCACTCTCCGTTCGCCTGGCGGCGTGTTTTGTGGTCGTTTTTTTACCTCCTGCGCAGATTTTTGCCTCGCGTTGCTCTGGCTTCTTGCACCTTCCGTTAAGTCCACGCTCTAGATTGTTTTATACAAAGCTAAGATCTCCTAGTTTGGGCTCGTTCTTTATAGATCTTTATAGAGTTTCAGCGTATCCTATAGATTTCCCATCTTGGGCATGTTCTGTAGGTCTCCCAGCCTAGCTTGTGTTGTTGCTTTAACTTGTTCCGTAGTTTGTTCTGTCTATAGATATCCTAGCGCTAGTTTCTTCTAGCTTCAGATTGAAATGTGGTTGTAGCTGTGGCTTGATCTCAAGTTTGCTCTAGTTTGAGATGAACTCTAGCCGTAGCTATAGCGTATAGTTTGATCTTTAGATCTCCTTCTGGATGCTTTTGTGCTTTGGCTGACATACCCCCCTCTTGTGTTCCGCTGCTCCGGCCAAGGACGCTTCATTTTTCCATGTTTTTTCGATGTTTTACTGCGTGCGCCAGGCAATATAGGCCACAGTTTTTACCAGTTTTTACATCATGTGCCTCTACACAACCTCGTTGTTTAACACCAACTATGTGTTAAAGACACATCTAGCTTTTACACAAACAAGTCTTAAATTCTTAATACAAACTAGATCACAAACGCATGTTTACATCAAGTATGTTTTACATGTTTTTACACCAAACAGTTTTTCAACAAATGAGCTTTCACACCCTTACGGCCGGCCCAGCCAGCGGAATGCCCCAGCCAAATCGTCCAAGGCAGCTGGAGCAACCCATCATTGGATTGTTTGGGAGGATTTCCAGACAAAGCCAACTAGAAGACAAATAGAACTTACCTGAAATCTTGGCCCTTCGGGGTTGTCGCATGGAGAAAGGCCGTTGCGTTGCATCCCACAGAATCGAGTAGCCCATTCATGCCCATTCCACAGGTGAATCGCCTGAATTCCGCGAACGGAGATACTCAATGATCTCCCGCGATCCTTGGCGATGGATGGGTAATTTCATGGTGATTTCATAAAATTTAATGGTGGTTCATAGGGTTTGAATGGGATTTAATGCTGAATTCATGGATTTCAATAGTGATTCATAGAGTTTTAAGGTGATTTAACGGTGATTTAAAGGGTATTTAATGGGATTCAATGAGATATGATATGACATAATCCCTTCTCCCGTTCATGTTAAACATTCCTCAGAGTCACCATGTTTTTTAGGTGGTGATATATGATGAAATCACGTATTTGGGACCATATAATGGGGGTACGTTTATATATATATATATACAGTGGGATGGATTAACCGGGATTAACCATCCATGCCCACACTTTGTGATACCATCTGGTACTTTAACATAGCTATTGAACATGGTCACTTCTAGTTGATTTACCTGTTAAAAATTGTGATTTTCCACAGCTATGTTAGTTTACCAAAGTGTATCCTATAACCCATGCCTTGCTTGCCGCCGAGAGGCCAGTTAGGAAGGCGATATGGATCAAGGACCTGGCCGCCGGGATGGGTTTTCTGACCAAAAAAAACTGGGGACCCCCCTGTGTGACAGGGAAACTGTGTGAATGAGAGGAACTAAGGCCCTCACCTGGATAACCAATGTTTAATGCTTGGTTAAGCAGTGGGACAGCGACATGGGAAAACTCTCAAGTTTTGTGTTGATTCAAAGTGTTCATGGGATTCATGGAATCTGTGTTTTGATTGGCTGAACTCCCATGTTTCACCACATTTCTGCAGGTTGAATCCAAACTTTGGTCACTCCTTAATAACTTAAACCCACAGTTTTTCATTTTTCCTATTTTTGTTAGGTAATTTGATGTAATTTGACATGTTTGTTGGTGAAATCCAACTCTTTGCCACCCAAGAGTGTTGGGTTTCTTGCATGCCATTCTTCATCCGCGCCTGCCCTCAGAGTCCACGCTGGGGCTAGTGACGCCGTAAAGGAAGTCCACCATATCTACGCCTCGGGGAAAAAAATCCCAAAACCTCATGGTTGGTCATCATTTTCCTGATTCAATTGTTGTTTGATTACCCTCTGGTTATGTCAAAATAGCTATTGAAAATGGCCAGTTATAGTGGATTTTCCCATTGAAAATGGTGATTTTCCATAGTTATGTTAGTTTACCAGAGGGTAAATGTGATGAATGTTGATGATATGTTATTGCTATCCCCCATGTTCAGACCCATATAAACCCTTAGCTAAGTATGTTTTGATATGCTGATTTGATAGAGAAATGATGGATAGAGTGGGGATAATATTATCATATTAATGGGATATATTTCATGGTGCCCCCAAACGTGACGTGTGGCCGCAGGTTTATGACTAGCTAGGCCTAGGGTTTATTATATAGACATATATAGACTGTATAGTTAATGGGTTTATAACATAGTATAAACCTATCTAAGTACAGTTAAATACAGTTACTTCATCACCGTGGTGTCCCGACAGATAATCTAGTGATATATTTCACCAAAACAGGAGTTCCCCCGGATCCCATGGGACACCCCTACCACTTGGACAGATCCAGAACCCCACAAAAAAAGGCTCGGGATTGGGGGTTGAAAATCTTAAAGTTAGGGAGAGAATTGTCCCTTCCTCAGCCAATGGTTGAAGATTGGTTTTTCTCAAATAGGGGTTGCGGTGAACAAATGTGCTTTCTAATGTGTTTTTTTGATCTGCAAATGAAGCTGTACAAAAATGATGTATACCCAAAACATGAAAAAAAAAGAATCGTCATTTGTTACAAATGGGTATTTACCCCAAAAATGTCATAAAAATCTGGCAGAAACCAGCTGGATTTTGAGACAAGCCCACGTGGGTTTACCTTTTTGGAACCACATTTAGGGTATAACGGTATAACTGTTACTAGAACACATTCAACATATCTGTGGTAAAATGGTGGTTAAATATGAAAAACCATCCATTTTGGTGGTCAAATACTTTTGACACAAACAAACGTGGCCTTTTGTGTGCGTGTTGGTGAAATGTGGATGTTGATGTCGTAACATCTACGGAGCCCCGAAAAGGAACCTGTCTCTGGGTTCCCCAGACGACCGCCGCGGCCCTCACCAAGCACTGCGGCATGAAGTACCTGGCAGGCGGCGAACTATTGCAGGTTAACCGAAAATGTGGTGGAAAACGAATGGTCAACCAATGTTTGTGGTGGAAAATTGTGGTGCAAACAAAAGCCTATGTTTGTTTGGGGGTTCAAATACCTATTACAAGAATGTGTTCAATTTTGGAGCTCAATCTACCCGTGGGAGTTGGGCTGGAAGGAAGCAGCAAACATGTTCAATTTTCAACCAGAAGAGTCGAATTTTGAGTAACCAATATGAACCATAAATACTGACTAAGTCGAATGGTATCAATGAACTCTTACTAAATCCAACTACCTTCTGGTATTTTAACGTAGCGATGGAACATCACCATTCCTAATAGGTAAATCAAGTATAAATGGCCATGTTCAATAGCTATGTTAAATTATGCTGGGATTCTACTAGCAAATATTGCCATTTGACGAACCAGCATTCGGATTTTGAACAAGTAAATCATCTAGGAATTGTGGTTTGTTCCAGCCAGTGCGATTACCCTCTGGTTATTTAACATAGCTGTGGAAAATGGCCCATTGATAGCTGATTTATGGTGATTTACATTCAACATTGTGATTTTCCATAGCTACGTTGAAATTACCAAACATTACCAACCCCCCAACTAACCAATCATAGATGATCATCTACCTATTGGTTGTTCAATGGGGGGAACCCTCCATTAATAAACCAACCAGTAGTCTTCCAACCCCCCGCTGATGGCATGGTCTATGTTGCTTGAGCGGATGGCAACTAGCAATGGTAACAATGAATAAAGAGAGAATAATAATTAATAACATAGATAATGGAAATTAATAGATAATGGGAAGTAATAAATAGTAACTACCAATAATAATTAATAGATAATGGAAAAATGAAGCTTGGTAATTAAGTGGTGTAATTAATACTCATAACATAGTAATAATCAATGGAAACTTTGTCAATAATGATGGCAATAATTGATAATAGCAATAGCTTATAGAAACTTGGGAATCAATAGTGAACAGCATAGCAACAATTCATAGTAATAACAATTGTTAGAATCTCAGAAACTGATAATGGTCATAATCATCATTAACAATAATAACCAACGGAAACCGTGGATGCATAGGTATGTAATATGATTATTCATATTTGGATATTCACCACGGCAATGTTTCTGGACATTTGAACTTCCCAATCTTGGGACATTTGAACGCAAGGTCCAAACCGCAAGTGCAAATTCCATGTGCCTTCAAAAGGCCAAGAATGAGGAACGATTTACCTCCATTTTAGGTACATGAAAACGGAAATTCTCACAGTTGGCTTTCGAAATAAAAAGGATCTGGCTGCTTTCCATACTTTCACCAAGCCACAATCGAGGGATTTGGGGGTCCCATGGGTTCCCTAAGCCCTAAACATCACGTGAATTGGAGGCCCCCAAGGGCGCTAGTCACCGCTTTCGATCTGAGATGACGGCCTGAGATACTTCACCAATCAGGATATGTGTACTTGAAATTATATATCAACTATATTCTAGACAGATGATGTATAGAAAAATATTCTTGAAAATATCTGAGTTACGCTGACCGTCACTGACCATCTTTTATGTTGCCGCTTGCCTATAACTAGATACAGACATCCATTCGAAAAGAGTCGTGTCAGCATCATGCGCCCATGGCGCACGTCATACTTGGGCCGACCACTGACCACTACCTGCAAGAAAACCGGCATGACCCAAAAAGGTGGCCGGTGGTTTTTCAACCTGAAAATCACCCTGCAGTCATGGAAAAAAACCATTATCAACCATTAGTAGTTGGTTTATAAACCCCATGAAAGCATCCATGAAAACTAGTTCGTTAAATATCTACCATAAACCCAATCAGCCATTCAGCCACTTTTTTGAGGCAAAAAAGAGAACCCCTTCGCCCTTCGCTCGACTTTTTTGGCAGAAACCCTATGGGGATCATCTGTGAAACAAGACCCACAGGATGATTAGCTGTTGTTCATATTTATTGTGATAAACTATGGTTTATAGGTGATATATCTATCAATAACTATGGTTTATAGGTGATATATCTATATCTGGTTGGTGGTGACTTAACCATCTTGAAAAATCTGACTTCGTCAATGGGAATGATGACATCCCATATATGAAATGGAAAATAATTGTAGGCTACTTGACCCATCTCCTTTTTTTTCTGAGAATTTCCTCAACATATACATATCAGCTACACCCAACATGTCCTTGAGGTTTCCACTCCAATATGCTACGTTTGGTTAGTTGGCACCTTGGAAAATTACGGCATCCTCAAGGACCTCACTGGGACCACTGGCATTTCTGAGACCCTGCGGGCTGAAATATCTGAGTCATTGGGGATCATATGTGATCACCATCCCAACAAAACGATGTAGAATGAAAAGATTTGAAACCGCAAACCCGATAATCTATCCATATCTATCTAGTTATATATATATATATGTATGTATATATATATGTGTATATATGTATATATGTATATATGTATATGTGTATATATGTATATGTATATATGTATATATGTATATATGTATATATATGTATATATATGTATATATATGTATATATGTATATATGTATGAATGTATGAATGTATGTATATATGTATATATGTATATATGTATATATGTGTATATGTATATATGTATATATGTATATATGTATATATGTATATATGTATATATGTATATATGTATATATGTATATATGTATATATGTATATATGTATATATGTATATATGTATATATGCATATATGTATATATGTATATATGTATATATGTATATATGTATATATGTATATATGTATATATGTATATATGTATATATGTATATATGTATATATGTATATATGTATATATGTATATATGTATATATGTATATATGTATATATGTATATATGTCTACGTATACATATACGTATACGTATATGTATACGTATATGTATATGTCTATGTATGTGTACAGTACGTACACTTGAAACTCGAAAAAACACCCAATCTGGAAAACTGATCATTGTTCACACACCTGACTCCAGGCCATATGCGAAATTCGCCATTAAGTTTGTGCTAGGATATCAGTCAAACCTTCCTCCGCCCAAATCGCTCAATGAAAATAACCAGAGATCGAAGGCCACCCCTTCAAAACTCATCATTTTTGGAGAGGTCATTGTGATTCCACTACACTTGGCGCAGTCAAAGCCCATTCTTTGTTGGTTCCAATAGCCCTATTTTTACCGGTGAACCCCTGGCAGTACCAATTCACCTTTTTTTCGGTCATGAACAGAACTTGCCTTGGCGGCCGGATCCGCTCTCTTATCCAGGAGGTACTTCATGATGTCTAAGTGACCTGCATGTGGCTCCCGAATCATCCCAAATCCACATTCCAGGGGGCTATTTGGCCACGGAAATAGGAAAATCGGGCAAGGCGGGTTCAGGGGGAGTACCGCCGTGAAACCTAAGAACATACATTCAAAACCTCCTCTGGGTCCCAGTAGTTGAGAGTGTTTCAGGCGAGTTTTCAGGGGATTGAACAGCTCAAATCCAAACCCAGTGGATTGTGCAGAAAGACTGCAGATTGAGATGATATATGATGATTCATGACACTCTTTGACCATGCAAGTCCAACCATCATATTTTCATGGTGAATCATCATCTTCCAACATGTTCCAATTCCTCCGGTAATTTCCAGATCCGGGTTGGCACCACGACTGGCTGCGATGTGAACGGCTTCCGCACGGCCCTCCTGGTGGATTCTGGGGATCTACTCTGCATGGGAATAAACAAGAAAATTGGGATGTCTATGTGGGGGTTTCTTAAGTCATTGGGAATCCATGATGACTGGATGATTTTTGGGGAACCCCCATGACTTCAGAAACCCCCAGTCTGTTTCAATTCGACATTTCTTGCAGGAAAAATCGACCTTGGACCTGCAGCTGGGGACTATCGACTGGAAACCATTGCTTTCGCACCCGAAATGTGGAGGTTTCAACGGTAAATGTTCCCTTCAACCAATGCTGGACTGGATGGTTAACCAAAAAGTTTCAGATTTAGCCAAGAAAAAACAAAAATAAATTGCGAAAAACCAATGGTGGTTTCACCAACCGAAACCTCTGAAAAAAATATGTTACATATATATATATATATGTATAATATATATATATATATTCATTTGTATGTATGTATGTATGTATGTATGTATGTATCTATCTATCTATCTATCTATCTATGTATGTATGTATCTATGTATCTATGTATCTATGTATCTATGTATCTATGTATCTATGTATCTATGTATCTATGTATCTATGTATCTATGTATCTGTGTATCTATGTATCTATGTATGTATGCATGCATGCATGCATGCATGTGTGTATGTATGTATGTATGTATGTATGTATGTATGTATGTATGTATGTATGTATGTATGTATGTATGTATGTATCTATGTATGTCTGTCTGTCTGTCTGTATGTATGTATGTACGTACGTATGCATGCATGCATGCATGCATGTATGTATGTATGTATGTACACACACACATATATATATATACACATACATATACATACACATATGTATATATATAATGTATATAATGTAGTGTATACATGTGCATTTATTTATATATATATGTTTGCAGCTGATGGAAATTTCACCAATTTTTGCTGCTGAGACCATGATTTGGTGAGGGCTACAACATCGCCATAACAAGCAGGTCACAAGTCCCATTGAGATCATCCGATGTGTTTTACGTCATCAAAAGCACCAACCACCCGATTTGTCTAAGACAGAAAGAAGAACAACAAGTCCAGTCAGAGATGATGTGTCCAATGTATTTTTTGAAACCCGCCACCATTTAGTAATCTCAGATAATAACCGTTACCAACTAGAACATGTTTTTTTCACAGGAGCAGGGCAATGCGGCAATACCCTCATTGATGGCAAACAAGTGTATATATATAATATAACCATGAAACATCTTTTCACAAGTCGCTTTCACTGTTCATACCCGAACTATTCAGACCATTTTCCAGGTTGGGTGCAGTTCGGAAAGGGGCTTTTGATGGGTTTTGCCAAGATTTCTATGGTGAAGCACCAAGGTCTACCCAGTTTGCCCAGCCAAGACCCAGTTCCTCGCCAGTCTCATGGTCTTCAAAGCTGAACTGAGACCTGCCAGGCCGTGCCCCGCTTTAAGTTGCTGCGAGTTGACCATGGAAAATTCGGAGCGAACAGTTTTTTGGATTTTTATATCTATGGGAATATATACTACTGGGGAATATTTATTATCTATGGGAATATATATATATATATAATATATATATATATATGGGATTTTTAGAATCTATAGTGTATGGGGAATATATAACTATGCTGGCTGGTGCTGTCAAACCCTCTGAAAAATATAACTCCTTATTGCTCCTTATTGGAGAGTTACGAGGCAGCAGAACGACCTCGCAACCCAGCAGTCTCGAACTAGCCGGTCTTTGCGGCTCGAAGCTGACAGATGTCTCGTTGTGAGGTCACCTGCCTTCCGAGCTGTGAGAAGATGTGACTATCTACCAAGTCAACCAAGGATGCGGGCAGGCGTAGTCGATAGCAGACCCCCCACTTCGACAGTGCGGCCGATGCAGGCCGTGCCATCTTTGTCGCCAACAAAACCTTGTTACTCTTCAGATATGAGCGCCACATACGTAGGAACAGTGAGCTCCGAGATCCCCAACTGGCACGGGCTGTTGCCGGCGCCGCAGCTTCACTCGAAAACCATCGCTTGGAGTGACACCACGGACCCGTAAATCCCGTGCAGAGATTGAAGAGGAAAAAGAGCTGGATTCCACTCACAAAGACCATCGGGCTTGAGCCCTGCATCATTTGTACGCCCTCTGTTGTCCACCATGCATGTAGTTGATCCATGTTAATCTGACCATATCGTCGCACCAATTGTGGTGAGACTTCCCATTGTTGTGGCATCTGTTGTGGAGCAACAACCTGAGGGCCAGCCACCTCTGCAGTGGGGCGGGGTTGTTGCTCCGTGACTGCAACTCGTGAAGTTTGAACCAAAAGTTTCAAAATTGCCTGGTGCAGCTGACGGTGAAAGGTAAGGTAAGTGCTCCACGTAGCCCTTCCCAAGCCGCCCAAAATTCAGCGGTCCGCCGCTGGTTGATGCCATCAGCTGCCATGTCTGTGAGAGCATTGTGCCAGTACGCCCACTCCTCCAAAGGCCCTGTGGCCTGCTGGATATCCCCATGGGAAACAACCTTGCGCAGTTGGATAAGATGCCCCGCCGAGGCCAGAGCCACTTGCATTTGTGACCACAAATCAGAATGGGGAGCATTTTTTCGAACCTGTTTGCCCTGCAAAAGGCGTTGGAGGCCTCGCAGAACTCCTTGACAGTCACCCCACAATCTGACACGTTGGCCTCGTTGGATGGCCCATCGAACAGCATGCAGAGCAGCAGTCAGCTCCGCCCTGAAAGGTGTTTGCACCAGCCCTTGTACATGGCCGCCCATCAGCCACCTGTTGTCCAGTGTACCCGGACCACCTGGAACAATTGTAACAGCCCATGCAGCGTAGCGCAGTCTGGCTTCTGTTGGATGAGCGCTTGTACCATCCATAAACAAGTCAACCACCTGGTGGACACAAGAGATTGGGGGTTCTACTGGTGACATCTTAAAAAGTCCATCCTCCCGAAGCAACATGCCCGCAACCACTTCCCACTCAGACAAAATCACCGGCCAGCCATGATCCCGTAAGCACGGAGGAAGAGAATCCAAAATCGCCCATTGATCCGGAGTGATGTGGGCACGACACGCTTGGAAGTGAGGACAGACCCAAGCACGGTGATAAAATCCATCTTTCGCTGGGCACCAGGGACACTTCGAGGTAACCCCCTGACGGAAGTGAGCACGGCCATTCTGGGTAAAGAGGGTCCCATTCAAGTGGCAGCGGAGAAACACCTGATCTGTGGGACCGAAGCCTCGCAGGACACGGTGAAGCTCAGGGAGATCAACCCGGGACAAACCATCAAAGGTAGCACGATGAGCCAACTCCTTTGCCAAAACATGCCCCCAAGACAACTGAAAGCGCAGCACCAACTCATCCCAGGCCACATGCATCAAGCAGAAGGACCCAAACTGGTCTTGGACAAGGCCCTGACCACCAACTGCCCAGCCCACACGACGGATACGAGCCAGCAAAACTGAGGTGGGGCCGTTAGCCGGAAGACTCTGATCACCGGCAGCAAAAAGTCCAAGAGAGGCAACCACCTGATCTGGAGTGCCAAGCTCCCGAGTGTCCCGAAAGGTTTGCAAAATGAACCAAGCTTCTGGGTCAGTCACCACTGCACAGGTGGCCAAATGAAGATAGGGATTGGCTCCTTTGCGGTCTGACTTCAGAGCTCGCACCGCCCCTGCTCGGAGGGATTTATAGTGCATTTCACCAACATGTACCACTGTGACCCCATGCAATGCCCTTGGCCACGCCATCATACGGATAGCCGCCAGTTTATGGCGGTAGGGTGCAGGACTGGCCCGAAGTCGTACCCAAGTCTGCGGCATCTTGGCAATGCGTTGTTGCAACACAGAGTTATGGCAGTGTCGACTAAAGTTTTGATGGGCTCCCAAATTTCGTGCTGCCAAAGTGACCTGGAGGTCACTGGTGCGGAAGACCCTGCGAGTAGCCCCATCATTAGACCAGAGACGGGTTTTTGACATGTCCAAGGACAGATCCAACAAACCAGTGAAAGTCTCAAGAGAAGTCCACAATCTGCCAAAGACATCGCCATCTCGGAACAGGAGCCCCCAGTCATCGACAAACGTACGCAAATCAACCTGGACCTCCAAGGATTGAAGCCACCAGTCCAACATCCAGTCCACCATGGTCATGCCAAAAACAGACAAGGCACATCCTTCAGGTAAGCCACAGTTCGACCCAATGGGTTCCCCAACCGAACGCCGGACACGGAATCGTCTTGTTTGACCAGAGACAAAGGAGACCCATGCTTTCAACACCGTGAGTGGAAACCCCATACGATGCAGAGCATGCCATAAAGGGTATCTGGGGATATTGTTGAAGCACTTTTGGATGTCCATTAAAAGTCCATGGATTACCTCCCCATTCATGTAGGCCGATTCCAGCACCGTGGCAAGTTCCAACCATATGGACTTCGCCTGGCGATGGGGAACTCCACCTTGAACACTGCAGGGAAGCAGATGAACAATGGAACGCAAAGCTTCACGCGCCCTTTCAGAGGACCAAACTCTGTATGCCAGACTGTAAACAACCACTGGGCGAAATTCATCCACCTGGCTTGCATTGGCATGTTTGGCTAAGCTAGTGACAAACCCTGAAGCCATTTGCGCTGGCCAAGAAGCACCCTGCTCAACCTGACGGTAGAAGTCCACAAATGTGTCACAGGCAGAGACAGGCAGGGCACATAAGTCAAGTTGAGAGACTCCGTCAGGACCCTTGGCAGCCCGAGGCTTCTTGTGTCTAACAGCCTGGCGAAAACGATCAGTAGTCCAAGGAGCACAAGTCCACTCAATCTGCGGTGCAGTGCGATCCAAAAATCCACAGATCTGATCCCACTGCCCCGGTTGAACATGATGGTGTTTCTGCCACCGAGCTTGCCAGACCTGAGCAAAACGCGCCAAGATGGCATCATCAGTGAGAACTGCACGCTCTTGTGACAAGGTGGCACCTGGATGAATTCCCTCAACACTGGCGACCCAAATCTGATCCTCTGAGTGAGCAGCAACATCAACTACCACACCACCAACTACCACAGGGACATCAGGTAACAGACTGACAGGACGAGGCAACACCAGGGACTGATCATCGGACCGGACTTCTTCAATGCCAATTTCCAACCGGTCAAACAGGGTGTCAGCCTGCGGAAGTGGGTCATCCTTGCAGTCCCGAAAGACATGTGCCAAGTTCTTTTCTCTGCGGCTCTTGGCAAACTGGTACCGCTGGCTGATCAAATGCTGTTCATACTGCCGAACAAAAGTCTGAAATCCAGTGAAGAGGCCCTGGGCAAAATCCAGTTCAGGGCAAAGCAGAGGCAACGGACCAGTGAACGCAGGCTGCAAACCATTGGGCAGTCCACCACATCCCAAATCCCCCCGGGAACCCAACAGCCGTCCGAATAGCACGCCAGGTATCATCCCGATTGAAGCGCCCCGACCATGTGAGGTCTCCCTTGGCCAAAATTCTACACAGTGATTGAAGCCGACGGAGTTGACGAAAGAACCTGGCATGCTGCAAGCTGGTACCCAAGTAGTGTGGCTGGATGTCACCTTCTCGACCTTTCTTAACAGGGGCAAGGAACTGCCGAGTGGCAGTGGTTTCCAAAACTGAAGCACGGCCGCATTGCCTACGGGTGACTGAGACCCCTTGGTGCTGACTCCAACCCTTGGCTTGAGTCTCAACTTGATTCCAAAACTGGGCATACGACTCAGTCATGCCACTCTGAAAATCCACCTGAACATTGCAAGTCCACTCGGCAGGCCAAGGGAAAGGCTGGGGAACGCGCCACACGTGAACCACCGACGACAGGGCATCCAAGGAAAAGGAAACACTGACAGCAGCATGATCCGCCCAATGATCGAATTCCACCCTGGTCATCTTGTACGCATGTTGTAATTCAGGGGAAAGCCATAACTGATCAAGGCGACGAGTGCCACGTCCAGTTGGTTCAACAGAGCACCCGTGCCGCCAAGCTCTAAGGTCCTGAACTTCTCGAAAGCCAAGGCCTTTCAGGCGCTCAACCTGTTCCAGCTCCTCAGGACCATAGTTGAAATCCCCTCCGATAGCACGGGGTCCCACTGTTTGCAGCCCAACCCTTTCAACCAGCTCAGCCAAAAGGGATTCAGTCTGAAACTTGGCCTGTTTATGATGGGCGTTGCACGGAAACCCATACATGACCCCCAAGGTAACCCACGTTCCCGCAAGAGCTACACCAGCCACCTGAACCCTGGCAGAGTCAAAAACCTCGGGAGTGAAGCCATGAGGTAAGGCTCGGGCTGGGTGCCGGGAAACCACCATGACACCTGCATGTGTGCCCGTGTCGGTTCTCTGGCGTGGGGTGCATGGTGCACCAGCTATGGCATAGCCATCTTTAATCCCTTGACAAAGGAAGAAGCCCCTTTTTGAGAGAGCTGCGTTTCTGATAA